CCAGAAGCTGAATGTCGGCCTTCGCACTGGCCAGCTCGAGAAGAGGAGGCATAACGTTGGGCAGGAAGGGCAGGAACTCTTGTCCAAGAACTCTGCACATGCGACCCCAGCAGTGCATCAGGTACTGAGCTTGCGGGTCATCAGAGTCGGTAATGTTAGCCTGAATGTTCGCGAGCAGGTGAACCAGGGTCATGGCATCCTGGCCGAGTCTCTCCTTGCCAACAGCCAGAGCGATCAAGGTAGCACACTCCATAGCCTTGGCGCGAAGAAGGCGGAATTCCTTCTCGTTCTCCGTCTGCAGGACATTCACCAACAGGGGCATGAGCGTGTCGTAATACTTTGAGAAAGCGGCCTCCGCGGCATCAGCAATGGTCGCAATGGTCGACAAAGCCTGCTCCTGGACGTATCGCTTCTCATTCTGCAGGAGCTGGAAGAGATGAGAAAGCAGCTCATCCAAGTAGGGCTCCAGGATGGACTTCTCGGCCTCCTCACAGAAGTTGACCAGAGCCGCAGCAGCATGAGACTTAACGCGGGCCTCGGGGGAGTCGAGGACGGGGATGATTGCCTTGAGAACGCGGTCGTAGTAGTCCGTTTGCATCTTCGGCGCGAAGTCAGTGCTCATTTGACCCAAGGCATTGCATCCAGCCCAGCGCACACGGGGATGGGGATCCTTGAGCGCAGGAACAACAAGATCGAGGACCTGGCTAAGCTCCCCAATCATGAGCTCTCTGCAGCCTTCGGAGATGGCGGAAATCGCCATAAGAGCCGCATGCCTATCTCTCCAAGCCATAGAGGTCATCATTCTAGGAAGCCAGTTAAAGGTCGGGGCGAGGATTGTTTGTCCGCCAAGCTTGTTGGCCAGCCGGTCCATGCATTGCTCTCCAGCAACGTGATTTTGGTCGCTCTCCTCTTGGTCAAGCTAGAATTCGTTAATAGGTAAGCGCAGAGGCTGGGAAACAGGAGCAGCTCACATCATCAGACGCCAGCCATTCAGCAGCATCGTCATCATCTTCGCCTAGGTCGGTCATCAAACTCAGGCACTGAGTGATCATGTCGTTCGTGTATGTGGGGTCCTTGCGGCACAGAGATGGCGCGTAATCGGCGAAAGTGGCCATCAGCTCCAGGGCGTTCTGGCGGCAAAGGTTGTCGAGCTCCTTATCCTGAATAACAGAGACGGCGAACTGTACCAAGTTATGGAACAAAGGCTTGAACATCTTCGGCGCAGTCTCGGCCATATCGATGAGGGCGACGAGGGCACCGCTGAGGTCTTCAGAGTCATGGCTGTCCTTGATCGGGGGCAGGATGTTGAGGACGTCGGGGATGAGAGGGTAAAACTTGGGCTGTGCCTTCTTGCCCAGGTTTCTGAAGAAGGCGGCAAAGGCCTCCATGGCAGCCAGGCGTACCTTTTCCACTGTCAGTTCGTGTTCTGCATGGTGGGCGCCAGGGTCCGTCATACCTGAACAGAGTCATCCTTGAAGCCCTTCTGGAAGGCTCCGATAACGTTATCCTCGTGTTGCTTTTCGATGACACCGGGGGTGGTTGAGAAGACGCGGAAAGCAGTCTCGCGCTTCTCGGCGTCGGGGGCTATGCTAAGCTGGAAGAGACCTCCAAGGAGTTCGGGCCAGGAATCGTCTGCCATGATGTTAGGCGCAAGTTCAATCCCAAGCGCGGGGCTTCTCGCGTGCGTCTGAGGTGAGTGGAGTGTGAGGTGAAGGACGTACTGTTCTCGGTGTATTGCCTCGCTACCTCAGCGACAGCGTCGCTGATTTTATTTCGTACGGCACGTTGGAAGTCCCCTCCCAAACTCTCGAGAAGCTTCTGGCGGATGACGGCAGCCTGGTCCTTGGACAAGGACAAGAACATATCGACAAGCTCGCCGCGCTCATTCTTGCGGCTCTTGGAGGCGATTCTTCGGAAAATGACGGCAGCGAAAGAACGTGTCTGTTGTGGTGGTGAAATTAGCCAAATGTCGCGTCGCGAGGGGCAGAAGAGGGGCAGGGATGGAGAGTGTGTGAGGGGAGCCCAGATGCGAGAAGGAAACACACCGAAGCATCAGCACCGATTTGAATCTGCTCAGCCAAACCCATCAACAGGACCTCGGGACGGGTGGTCGTCCAGTTGTTTTGCAGATGCTCCTCCGCTTGCGTACGGACAGAGTTCTCAGGGCTCTGCAGAGCTTGCAGGAGCTGTCCCAACTCCTGGTGGACGTCTGGCGGCAACATGGACATGATTGCGACCGGTGGCAGTGGTAAATGCTCTCGAGTCGAAGGAAGTTTTTCGAGGTTGAAAATAACCAGCCCCAAGACCAAGACAGTCGGGGCGGTGGAAGGTGGACAGAACCGCGCGAAGGGCGATGTGGGGAGGCTCGGAGGGATAAGAGCTGGCGTGTGTTTGGCTCTGGAGGGGGGTGCGTCTCTCGCTCGCTCTGGCTCGGTGGTTTTTTTTTTTTTTTTTTTTTTTTTTTTTTTTTTTTTTTTTTTTAACCTTGTCTTTTGGCGGTTGTCTCTTTTGAGAGCGCCAAAGTAAGCGAGCGCGCGTCGGAAGGCGGAATAGAAGGAGGAGGACAGTAAATTTGCGGGTGAGTACAGTCAACTACTGGATGCAGCGACTGGCGACAATGAGCATGGTATGCGTTGCGGGTGGTAGAGAGGGAAGAAGTGGTTTTGGTGGCTCAAAACAAAGGAACTCGTCACAACACAAAAGATATGAAGTGAGGCAGTAATGCCCACGATGGTTGAAGGGACTGGAGCCGGGTCTTTGGAGGGGGAAAGCAACACAAAAATGACATGGAATAATTTTGCGCGGGGCTGTTGGGTGGTGGAGCAAGATGCGCTGCTGCCCGCCCGCACACGCCACACCTCTTGAGTCCCTCTGCTCCACTTGCTGAAAGGCCGGCCCATGGTGCCTTACCATTACTTTGCGAGTGCCCTCCGTGCTTCCCTACCTACTAGGTATGTTGCATACGCTACCTTATTACATAAGGCACATACATCTACGCTCTTAACCCAGGAACTCACGGTTGAAAATACCTTAGGTAGGTAGGCAGGCAAGGACCAAGCTGGCAAGCTGGGAAGGGAGTCCAACCCGACACGCCTCAGGTCCCGTCGGGTCGTGGATCGGTCTGCAGGCTGGCTGGCGGCAGCCCATGGTACGGGCCATCCGTCATTTGGTTCCATTCAATACCTACTTGACTGGTTGCTCCCAAAGGCCTGAAATTGTTAGTGGGTTGGACTTTTGACTGGCTGTCAATGCATGTGAATGTTACCCAGTATTGCCTGGGTACTTTCCGCCGGTAATTAGACATCAAATCCCGTTGTAAATAGTTCATTGTTGGCTAATGAGGCAGAGCAGCAAACAATGGTGAGTTATTGACCAGCCTGTCTCGTTCTGGGGGACAATCTCACCGGCACGTCCGTGGTATGCCACAGGATGCCAAACATGGTGATGGGCGTAGCACGACAGCTGCCATACCTACCTACCTACCTACCTACCTACCTACCTACCTACCTACGTTACCTACCTAGGTACCTTGGGTAGGTAAGGTACGCAGGCAGAGCCCACTCGCTGGGTAGCAATCAAATGCCCAACAAACAGGTTTACACTAATATGTATTATTAGGACAATCGGTTCTCACAATGCCTTGGGACTTTGCGAAGCCCTGATGATTGTGCAGCCCGGTCCTCGGGCATGTCCTGAATTTACATCCTACGTGCCTACCTATCACCTATGTGGCTGCAGCAAATTGACAGCACGCGTCGTCGATCAGCAGGCGATTCTTCATCAAGGCCCTCCAGGTTGTTTGCGTGTCTGCGTGTCCGGCGGCCTGTGATTTGCTACCCTCCTTGCTAGGTATGCGTTATGTAAGGTGCCACGCATTGGATAGGTAGGTCCATACCTTAAGGGTAAGGTACCTAGGTAAGGTAGGCACCGTGGCACCCACGGCACCTTAGGTCTATACGTAAGGTATGCAATAATTCGGGTGGAGGAGGATGGAGGGGCACCGGGACGGAGGCCAGCTGCGGACGGTCCGGTGCCATGAGTGTGGTGTGGTGCATCAAGCAGAAGCGGGGACTGCTTTGGCCAGCCACCTTCATCACCGCCACCGTCACCGTCACCGTCACCATCGCGCTCGCCTGTCAAAGGAGGGGTAGGTAAGGCCCGTAGTGTAGTCCAGTGAGCTGCCCCTGCTGCCTGTCAATCTCTCCTCACCTTCATTGGATCTTTCTAAAGGTACTTGCACCTAGGTAATTTAACCCAGTAACTATCGGCGTTAGCACTTGGGGTTCGAGCACCTGGGGAACGGGAGTGAACTCACCTACTCTGACGACGCCCTCGCAAGCCGCCCCCTCTCGCCCCACGATTCTGAATCTACCGTTTTTATGTTCCATCCGACTTCAGAATACCCATCCCTCCTGGCTTTTGCTCGATTCGAACCGGGTACCATATGGGCCATCCCATCCCATAGTGATACTGCTTCCGGATCCTCGTGTCATAAGATACATAATCGCATCCCCTGCCCGGCCCATTTCAACATCCACCATCTGCTGCGTCGCAAGACCCAGGGTAGGGTGCCGCGCCGTTGCCCCTCAATTACCACCTCACCGTACGGATACAACCCAAAGCTCTACGTAATTAAGGCGGTGCACCTACATCTACCGCCATCATCTCCAGCTCCAGCTTCCATTCTCTGAGGTACGCAGTAATAAACCGAGTCTCGGCAACGCTGCCTTGAAGTCGCAATCAGCCGGCCTGGAATTGGCCACCCCTCGTCTCTCGACACCCTCGCCCGCACTCTGCTCAGCCACCGTCGCCTCCGCGCTCCCTCATTTCTGCGACTACCTTACCCGATCTTCAGCTTTGGACGACCATTCCTTACACTTTGCAAATCCGACGCGGAATCTACCTCACAACTTTCCCAAAGCCTCGAGTCGAAGCAACCGAACAATTTGGAAAATCCATCACACCGATTTGTTTCCAAGTGACGCCCTTCGTGTAGAGCAATGGACGGAGCAGCGGCACCCGCGCCGCACAAGGACGAGAGTGCATTCGTCGCAACCTCACCCCCGGCCATCCCCCAACGAACTCCCTCCCAGACGAGCTTGCACAAATCGACACATGCCCATCGCCAGAGCTTCGCTGAGAACCTCAGAAACGCTCCGGGCTCCCCTCGCGCCCAACGTCACCCTTCATTCACCCAGGCCGCCGTTCAAGAGCTCCTCAATCACCCTCCGGCTGCTAACAAGCACTCCAACCCGCGCTTCGCAGGCCGTGACTGGCGCGACGTCTCCGTAAACGAGCTCGTCGCTCAAGACGATGTTAAATGGGTCGACCTGGACTCCAGCATCGAGGAGGCATCCATGGTCTGTCGTCCAAAACCCAGCTTCTCCGATGTGACCATTTCTAATGCCGCGCTAGATTCTCGTCAAGCAAAGCCCCTCCAATGTTGTCCTAATCCGAGAACGTGCATCTTCCAAGACCGCGGTTTCCACTTTCGACTACAACGATCTCAACACATACCTGCTGATAGTTGTCGGACTGGCAAGGCCCGATGAGGAGCAGATTTCCACATACGATGACATTGCAACGAAGGCCCGGGAAGGACGGAGCATAGCTCTGCGCGATATACAACCTCTCTGCAGAAAAGAGTCGCTCATTACGCTGCCCTTCGACGAGACGCTTGACAAGGCCATCGAGGTCTTTGGCAGCGGAATTCACCGCGTTCTTGTGACTAGCCCTGCTGGCGACGTAATCGGTATTCTCAGTCAGCTCAAACTGGTAGAGTTCTTCTGGAACGAGGGCATCAACTTTCCTGCCATTGACAAGCTATACCCCATGATCCTGCGTGATTTGGGCATTGGAACTCAGCAAATCGTAGCGGTGAAGTGAGCAGCCCCCAAGGTCTACCCTTTTCCAAACAAAGCTGACCCCTTGTAGTTCCGACAGCCCACTAGGCGACGCGCTGGCCTTGATGAACGCCGAAGGCTTGACGAGCGTTGCTGTCATCGACAACGGCCACAATGTAGTCGGCAATATCTCCAGCGTAGATGTCAAGCATTTGACGAACGCCGCCGATGCGCCCCTCCTAAAGTCGTCTTGCATGCACTTCATCTCCGTCATTCTCAGCGAGCGCGGCGTTGAGCACGGCAGAGACTCCTTCCCAGTCTTCTACGTGAACCCTTATTCGACGTTGGCGCACACCGTCGCGAAACTGGTCGCCACGCAATCCCACCGCATGTGGGTGGTCGAGTCCGCGTCCCCCAGCCCGAGCGCGCCCGCGACACCCCTTCTGGCCCCGACGACGTCAAGCATCTTGGTGCCAGGCTCGGGGTCGGCGCCGCAGTCGCCGCTACCTACGCAGGTGGTACACAACGTTGTACCTGCAGCCGCTATGCCCGGCGCTCATCTGTCGGGACGGCTCACTGGCGTCATTTCCTTGACTGACATTCTGAATATGTTCGCCAAGTCGTCTGGCTTGCGGCCCTCGGATCCAGGCGAGCAGCGAGCGCGACGCCGTAGAAGCTCAAGCAGCTCCATTCGGCCGAGTCTCGACTCCTCGAGACCAAGCCTTGATCTGCGCCGGTAACGGGAATCAAGCGCAACTTACTTCGGAGGATGGATGTTAAAGTGGATGGGGTGCGTGTTGGTGGGGTTTTACGACTGGCGTTTCCTGGGTTTCGCCGCATGGGATCAATTGACAGGAGCATGGGTTAGCTGAAGTTTATGCTTTACGTTAGACGGCCGGAACTCTTGCAGTTGATCCAATTAGGAGAGCATTGCAAGCTCTTATTCCCAATACAGGGGGTCTATATTTAGTTCACAGTGCCGGCCAGCCGTGATACATGAGACGAAACCCGGTGGTTGGTGCTGCTATTCTGCTTTGCCGAGTCCCTGAACGTGATAATACCTAGGTTAATTCCAGGAAGAAAAGTTACGCATTCAACTCCATAGGAGCAACTAGTCATTGCGCCTGTAGTTCGACGGTTCAATCTAATAGGATAGGCCGGCAAAGTCTTTATTGAGTTATGTACGTGTTGTTTCACCCATTAACTTGTAGACGCATCCAAACATCTCCATCGCCTACCGACATTCACCCTTGGGCCTTGAAACGCAGCGGTTTCTCAGAGTTCAATGGGCACTCCAACGGAGTCGCAGGTCGTGGTAGCCCAGTTGAGGGCAGCAAGGCTTGTTAACAGATGTTAGTACTTTAAGAGGCCATTATGGACGGTGTCGGCCGAGGGGTAGGGGGAAGACTTACACATCGGCAGACCCGCAAGCGCCAAGGACACAGCTAGTGACGGCCGAGTTGTAGGCAGAAGAGCTGCAGGAAAAGTTTAGCGGAGTCATATTGCGCAGTCTTTCGTCTAATGACGTTACTTACGCGCAGATGCAAGCGAAGTCAGTCTGAGAGGCGCAACCGGAGATGGGGAAGTTGTCGACGAAGCAGGGCTCCTGGAAATCAAGAGGATCAGTGAGTCGTCCGCGACAGCGAATCATCGCTCAGAGAGGATCATACGGCGCAGTCGGGGAGTTCAGAGAGGTCCTGGGCAGCAACAAGGCTGGCGAAGAAGGCAACGGCAACGGTCTTGAGCTGCATGTTGACTGGTGGGTCGGATCGACGTGAGAGTAAGTATATAAATCTTGGTTGGGTCTGAAGTAAGAGATGAGACTGTTGTGCAATCGAGTGGATTGATCACGACATTCCGGGGAAGATTATCATGGCTTTATATAGACGTCCTCTATCTAGCCACATTCTCTTCTCACTTTCTTCCCTCCTCTCCGTACCTGATCTCCCAGAGAGTCATGACATCTTGCTAAGTCGGCTTACCCCGCAAACTCCTTGTTCAACCAACGATTCCAGCCCTCACATTCCGCTTGCGAGTAACATCAATTTTCTTTCACATGAAGCCGACGGGGAGCACGGAGGCGCGGGGTCGAGGAGATGAGGAGGTCGCCAAGGCGGTCATCGCGGACTGAAGCGACCCCAGGCGGATGTGACGTTCCAGGGACAAGGCTTACGTCGGTGAAATTTCCATATGGAGAATCTGGAGAATATGGCAGAGGGGAATCGTGTGGCGGCATTCAGCAGTTTGAGAGTGAACAGATTACGATGGCCCTGCGACAAAACTGCACCATGCAATGTAAATGCTGCTAATCGGGATATCAGGTTTGGGTACGGATACAAAAGCCAGATTTAGGGGTTTCTATCATCGCTTGATATGGACTTTGGTTGGCACAACAAATGTCCTTGGAGTCAGTCAGCCAGGCTCGCCTTCACGAGGGCATGCCTAGATAGACATGGAACACCTCGACAGCACAACACAGCCAGGTCGACTAGCGCCACAGCAAGGTTGCCTTGGGAAGAAATAAAGCCTTGCTGATCATGAGGCCAAACTAGACGCCAGACAGCTCGACTGATGTGACATTACGGAGCATCGCAGGAGAAACCAGTTCTCAGAGGTTCGTCTAAGAAAGCTCACACACGCCACAACTACGCTTCTCCACAGGCAATCAAAGATCGGTTGCCACAAGGGACAGGGTCGGCATCATCACCCAGGCACAACGGCGACAGGAAGGAGGGGAGGTCCGCCCTACTGCAAGGAAACCTGGACTGGGAGGTGTGTGTTATCCAGCTTCTCCCCAGCCCCGCCGCTTAGAGCTCGAAATCCGGGGTTTGCGGGGAAGAATACGACTCTGACATTTTGGTCGGGGTTGCAGTCGGGGAATGTGCTGGCCAAGGATGAGTTCCTGCATCGGGGAAAGCACCGGAGCGGACAAGTTGCGGGAGGCGGTTGCCGTTCGTGTGCCTCACGTCGTACTCTGTTATGCCGAGGCGGCTTGCTTTGGGTTAAAAAAAAAAAAAAAAAAAAAAAAAAGCACCTGATGATGATGTAGAAAGAAGTCCTCGTCTCTGTTGATTTTCAAAAAGGAGCCAATCTTATGCGTCTGAGCGACGGACTTCGTGAGACACCAAGTGTAAGCGACTTTTGTAAACAGGATGTCGAATAGGTTAACGAGATGATGGCTCCGAGAAGGGGAAGCGTTCAAGGGCTCCCCGCGCCGGCAGTTGGATAGAATTCAAGGCTGGTTGGAGGGGATCAGCGATTCGGGAGAGATGCGTGAGGGCATATTAAGATTGTGACATCGTCCAATCTCACAACCATTCGTCTCATGCCAGAAAGTGGCTAGAAACGACCACCAGTTCTACAGTCAAGCAAAACACGTCTATCCTACTTAGCATGCAACGAGGGTTTGCGTCGAAAAGTTGAATTGAAGGGGTTGATTGAGTTTGTCTTCTCTGAGAACTAAAAAGCGGCCGGGCAGGCAAAAAGCAGAAAAGGAAGAAGAAGAAGTCTGTGACGAGGGCAAAAATATTCCGAAACCGAGAATCGAACTCGGGGCTATGCCTAACCTCTCTACGGATGAGAGGGCATCATGTTGGCCACTACACCATATCGGATGTGGATACCGTCACAGCCGCTAAACTTGACTAGTGGCCTAACCAGTGGCCTAACCATTGTGTGTTCACAAGCCGTAGAGAGGCGACGAGACGGCTTTGGGCGTCGGATGGCTTGAGACAATAAGCTAAACAGGAAAAAAAAAAAAAACATATTCATCAGGCACCATGTTGCGTGGATGAAGCTTGAGAAATGAGCTGAGTTGATTTGGTTCAGTTGAACCTTCTCAGAGTCTGAAGTGGTTCGGACAGTCGAGACCACTGTGATTTCACACTGTATGTCAAATCTTTCGCCTACCAGAAATCGCAAGTAAGCTTCACTGCAAAGTCACCAAAACTAAACCTCATCAACTGCCCATGAAAAAAAAACCCTCAAATCCCAGGTCAACAGAATACTTCTACCATTCAATACAGAAACATCAGTCATCATGTCCGTCTCCCAAGAATTCACAAATTTCTACCTGCAGCGCACTACACAAGAGTTCGCCGAAGACCTCGACAAGGTCCGCGAGGCCGACGACTTCAAGGCCGAGTCGCTGCCTTTCCTCATCCACGCCCTGCAGCAAGGCACCGCGCTGTACCCTGCTGCCGACCAGCAGCGCGTCATGCGTCCCACCGCTGCCGTGACTGCTGCTGCAGATGTCGCTGAGGATGAGGACCTCGACATGGAGGGAGCGCAGCCTGAGAAAAAGAAGGCGAAAGGCAGCAAGAAGGAGAAGAGCAAGAGGAAGAAGTCCTCGGGTTGAAGATGGGAGGGCTAGGGAGATTTCTAGCCGAGAAATTGGGAAGCGCGCCTAATGAAGGGAAGGAAAGTCACGCGTTCTCGTTTGACCCATCACCAACGCCTGCTCACACGCACCAACATGGCATCGTGAGAATGACACCAAGCAATGAGTATCGCTCTCAGATTTGCGTGACGAGCTTAGGCCAGAGCATTACAACAAAGTGGTGGCGGTCCAACTTCAAGAGGCTTCAGCCAGGCGCGCTTGCATCATCAACTAGAGCCAGCTGAAGGCGCCAGAGGGGGTCAGGACAGGATATTGTTGTTGCGCTCAGAAGGAAGCGGTGAACGGAGCCATGAGTGTATTGAGAGCGCGTCAAGATCGGCAGGCGAAGGCATGACCAGGGACAAACCGTCATATGTGAAGGAAGCTTGATAACAATCATGAGAGCAACCAAGGTATCAAATGCGGCATCGTGTATACATCATCATTAAAATGCCAACAACCTTGACCATCTAAGTACAAGGGGGTATCTCTGGATATCAGGGACCAAAATCAAACCATACACCAGGGCATCAATGTCGTTTATCGCACCCGTCCATGACTGCGCCGTCGCAATGTCGCGCAGCGCTCCACACTGCCATCATCATTTTCACCACCACTATACCGTTGTAGGTGCAAGACGTTCAAGCGAGACTGTATAATTGCCTGCCGGCCTCTTTGCGCACTGCCCAGCCCTTGATAGCAAGGACGATGATCTCCCATGCCATCAGGACACCCACCAGTCCCATGGTCACAGTATACATGAACATGGCATCAAGCTCATAATGGATCATTCCATCGACCGTGCCGCTAGCCTGGATTTCGTTAGTTAGAAAATATCGCGAGGAACAACTGCGGAAGACGGCGACTCACACTAGCCATGAAGATGATGCCCCCAGAGATCAAGCCAAAAGCGGCCAGGAGCTCCGTTGGAGGCCGAGACGGGAGAACAGACTTGGGAGGCTTCAGGTACATGATCACGTAAGTGAAGCCTCGCGCAAACGAAGCACCCGTCAAAAGGTTGCCCCACTGCTTGTGCACCATGCTTGAGATCATCGAGTGTTGGGTGTGTGAGCTCATCATGATCCCCAGGAGGAGAATGACGAGCGCCGGAATGGGGTTGATGGAGACTCCATATTGCTTCGGGGGCTGCAGGATTTCGCGCTCCTCGTCGTCATATGTCTGCTCCAGATTGGTTGTAGCGACATCGACAACGGATGTATTCAAGAGATCGCGGATGCGGCTCGACTCGATAAGCATGCCAAACTGTTATCGCGTGTTAGCAAACCCCGTCTCGAAGCGACTACTACCAAACTTACCAACCCACCACCAATGAACAGGACCGTGATCGAAATGTGCTCCAAG